CGCTCTTCCCGCGCGTCGCCACTCTTGTTCAGAGAATCGCGGCTCAATTTCGCTAAAAGCCCTACGGTGAGATTTATTCTCGGCTAGGAATCTTTGGGATGGGCGTCGATAATCGTCGTCGCTGGGTGGTTGTTCAGGTCGAAGGTGGAGAGAGTGAAGAGGTGATTCAGACGAGGATAGGGCAAATCGAAATGGTAGATTGGGCATTCGTGAGAAGACGATTCGAATTGCTTCTCCTAACAATTGCACTGCCAGTCATCAAAGACAACGAAAAAGAAGAAGTCATGAGCTTCTTGCTATTTTGCTGCTCTCGCGGACATTAATTGCAGTTGTATTGATGTTAATCTTCTGGGAAAGCAATCAAGAAGACCCATTCCCCTATTTTCTTTAGAGTTCTTATTTTTGCTGTGAAGCCCATTGATAGAATCTCGGATTAATTTACTTCTTTTGGTCAATACATGTTACAGAAAAAAAAAAAAAAAAAAAAAAAAATTTTAAAAAAAAAAAAAAAAAAAAAAAAAAAAAAAAATTTCATCTTAAGAAAGCGAGACTCACTGATAAAAAACAATAAGGAAAGAGCGGAGAGAGAGAGAAAAAAAAAGTCAGAAAAAAGAATAAAAGTTTTGGATTAGAATTAGATATAACTGTATGTCTTATTTATTTCATCAATTTTTAAAAATAATTATATTTAACTTTTTATTAAAATAAAAAATTTTCATATAAAATCACATTTTAATTTAAATTAACGAACTAAATGGGTTCGTAAACTATAACCAATATCCGTTAAATAACTCTGTTTTTAAAAATTTACCATAATTGATTAAGTGTCAAAATTTAATAAGATGTTAAAAATTAATTGGGAGAACAATTATTAGTACATAAATTTAAGACGACAGATCTCAACTCGTATTTTCTCGCGCCGTCGTCATGCATCTGTGCTACATGGATAGCAATAGACAGAATAGAAAGGAATAGCCACGTGAGCTGCTTTATCTTTTTTAAAAACAGCCCCGAGAAAATATGGGATTATTGCCGTTTGAAACAGAAAGCACTGAGGTCCACTACTAATTTTTTAGCGCCTAATATTATAGTATTGTGGTGGTGGGAAATAATATTGGCCCGAACTTGTCTGAGTTTCTTTGCTATGTAACTATAGCTTGAATGACATCAAGTTGGATAAAGAGGATCTAGCCAAATCTAAATGAAAATTATAGGTCTACCTATCATGTTGGTAGTCTTAGCATTTTCTTTTCTTTTTTTTTTTTTTTTTTTGTAAATGCTTATGGATTTGTCTGCGTCCAATTATACAATTTCACAACTCGGACGTGCCACGGACACGACACGTATATCTATATATGTATATTTATATTTAGATATATACATATGTATATAGGTGGTGCCGTGTAGTACTGCATATCTAGGTACAAAAATATGTGGACTATTGACATTTGACCATAATATTCTTCATCAAAGTATAATATTGATTCTTCAATATATATAATAGTAGTTGCAGTGACTTAATCTGCAGATTACAAAGAGATATGAGAGAGAGGAAAAGGGGGCGGCAGATCCCACAATATCTCCATCACTTAGTAAAATGCATAAATTTTCTTCTACCATTATTGAAATGCAATAAAAATTTCTCATACTTTGTGATCTCTTAAAACAAATTTGATCTTCTACTGCCTAATTAACTGATTCTAGTCACAATTCACACTACAACAAATAGGTCATTTAGCGAAGCTATTTTTAGCCTGCAATAATATTTTTATCATTAAGAGCATTTCCAATGCAACGCTATAATTAATAGATCAATTATAAATTTAATATTAGAGTGCAAAAAATGCTCTCCAATGTAATGTTATTTGTTGTGTCAAATTTTCCATATGCTATTTTGTGGTAAATTTTTCACCAGGTATAGCATATAGGAAATTTGACTACTATTGGCTAAAATGTTTATTTATATAATCAATGAAACTTTTGCATTTTCTAATTATTTTAAAAATAAAAATTTACTTTTACAAGTTTCAAAATTTAATAATTATAGGAAAAAGTATATTTAACATTTCAAATGACATTATACATTGAAGTAAAAATGAAAATAACACATCATTTTATATTTTTTTATGCTAAATATACAATTGACATTAACATTTATATTGAAGATGGTTTAAAACTTGACTTTTGGCGTCAACTTATCTGTTAAAATTTAGTCGCGTGACGGCTTAATTTAGGAAAACTCATGGAAAAAAACTTTAAGCTATAGTACATTGTAATACGAAAAACATGTTTCTATATACGAAAGTGTCGTTTCTATATAGGATTGTATGACGGCGTGAGTAGCATAAGACGGTTAATCCTTAAGAGACGACATATTAAATTCGAGCTTCTCTTATTTTCTTCCTCAGTTTTATTCCCATGACTGCAGTGTAGGGGTGTAAATCGGCCGGGTAGGGTAGGGTTGAGCCGAAAAATTGAGCCTACCCGACCAGTGCGGGTTGAGAAAATTTTGGGCCGCGACACTCTCTTAAGTCTACAAACCCGCAACCTTTCGGGTAACCTCAGGTAGGGTCGGGTTACTCAGGTTACTCGTGTTGGTGATCTCAAGGACCACATGATCACTTTTTAGTCAATTAATCTGTGCTTGTTATAGAAGAAATCATTATCAAACAGACACATGTCTTTCCTTCAAGAGGGAGTCTAAATGCAAGGTGAACAATTAAAACACTCACTTTGAAATCAAACACTTCCAATATAAATAAAGAATGTCCTAATTCAACAACTATGGCATACAAGTATTTTTTACACAAACCGTGAATCCAAAACATAAATAAGTTAACAGTTTAAATGCATAAAGTCCATAAACTTATGAAAGTAAGAATTTGAAGTGTTGGACGTTATTTTACCTACTTTGAACATGTTCGGCCGGGTAGAGTTACCTCGGGTTTATGTAACCCCACCCCGCGTCCCTACCCGTGCAGTGCGGGTTAAGCATAATTAAAACCGAAAATTAAATAAAAAATTAGAAACCCGTGATTTTTTAGTAGGGTCGGCTCGGCTCGGCCGGATTCGTCGGGTTCGGGGTGATTTTTTACAGCCCTACTGCGGTGCGTTTGCAAATGGTACGCAAATTTGTGAATTTAAATGGTTCATCAAAGGTTCACTCAACACGCACATTTTGTTGCCTCGTCCCATCAACCGACTCATGGGCTAAATGAAGAAGAAACAGTGGAAACCATACTTTGGTCTCGTCGAGGGTATAGGAAGAAATTGGCCCCATACTTGGTCAAAACAATGTCGTTCCGCTCCCTCATCTTGATCTATATCAATATCTAAAACTCAACGGGTGCGTTTGAAACTCATTTTAAAATGATTTTGTTTTTTGTA